CATAACACGTTGATTGCAGTCAACAACAAATAGACATTGGTCATCAGATGATAACAACAATGCGATCCCTTCATATACGGTGTGAGTTGGACGGCCAAACGGTGGGACACGATAAACATTCTGAAAATCACCTCAAATTATTTCAACAAATTAAATATGGATTATATTAAGCTATGATAACCTATAGTTTTGACTTTGACTAAGCTATGAGCGCGTACAAAAAAAAAAGAAAAAAAAAGCTATATTTGAGCTATATTTGCTGAAAGCTATATTTGCAGCTATATTCCTTTCTCGGAATCCAAAAAAAGTTATTAAACCATCTAACAAATGACTTCTGTTGGAAGCTTAAAAATTAAAATTACAACTTATGAAAGTATATATTTAAAATTTTATGAATAACCTCAACAGGCACATTGACAATTTCCAGATAATCGTTGGAGTGCTCCACAAGCTCACGCATGATATCATTTTTACCGATTTTTCCGAGGACTATATTGTGCTCATTAACAACAGCAATACATGATAATTTCCCCGTTATAAGTTTGTCAATTACTTCACCACAGCATGCGCTACTTGTGATCTGAAACTTCGATTAGATTAGAATAAATTTATTCCCAGTTAGCATTGATGATTATAATAAACTTTTCTTATCACAGGAAGGAAAAGTTATTGAAAATAAAGAATTGAGAAAAAATACAAGTCGTAACAACTCTGCACTTCAGATTACACCTCTTTTCTCGAAAAATTTCAAGTTGGATTTATGCTATGATAGCAAGTAGGTCAAAAGTTGAAATTTTTCAGTTTTCTTCCTAACAGGACTAATAAATTTCATCCACTCGCTTGCACGACAATTAACAACAATTCGTATTTTAACATCAGTGTATTTGAAAGTGTAGCAACGAATGACAATGACAAACCGTAACGACATCCTCCCACGTGCCAATACCGGAATCAAGCAATGTTCGGTGCTTTACATGAGGAGCTAATGAAAAACTTGGCTCTATCTGGAATATTTTTGACATACAAATTCGATAGATTTTAAAATATAAGGAAAACAAAGAGAACCAGAAAATAACGTCTGATTCAACTATACTTCCCACGATATGTTATGCAGCCAAGTTTATTCTCCTTTTTTTCCATTCTCCAGAAGAGTTCACTTTCAATCATCGTGAAAAGTTTTCCAAAGAAACAGAAATTCGTTTACCAATTTGATAATAGTTTCGCAGAAAATTCGTCGCAACGATAACATGTAGAGAATATCAGTGAAGAAGCTGCTTTCGTCAGCTTGAAATATAGGTATACGGTGGACATGATTGAGACAAAACAGCCTAGCTGCATCCCAAACACTGCAATGTAAAAGCGAAACACAAAATATAATCAAGACAAAACTTCCGGGATGATCAGAAAAAGCCAGAAAAATCAAAATGATTTGACAAACAGTTGCAGCCAGAATATATAGTTCTGATTCTCGTATCAACTGCAATGCCAAATCGATTACAGAAAGAAATTCGAAACAAATAAGGTCACTAACGACATATTAACGGTTGCAGTGATAAGCTTTTTCTTGCCGTAAGCCTCAAGGAAATCGCGAACCGGTCGATCACCTATTTCAGAATCGATATTGAGAGTAAGGACAATCGCACGAAGACAATCGGTAACGGTTATCATACCTACCGGATTATGTGCAATTGAATTGATTACCACTGCTGCATCGTGTCCAGATTGATAAAGAGCTAATACTGATTTACGCATCTGGAATCCACTGGGTCGATTAAATGAAATTCTGCGAGATAAGGATCTATTACTCTGTTACTTGACGGGTGGTAAAACTTGCAAGCAACTCACATCTCAAATGATTAGCTAAAAATGTTGAGTGTTGCAAATTCAGAATGAAACTTACCGGGAGATCACCATCAATCAGTAAAGCTGATCCATGGACTGGTGCTAAATCGTAGCATAACAAAGACTGCATATACTGTTTATAAGGATCCGTGTGCTTATCTGCAACATATATTTGGAAAATGAAGGACATAAATTCTGAAGTTTATCATATTTTTGTTTTCCTAAGTTGTTGGAAAGGTTAAGGATCAGAAGAAGTGGGGAATCACAGAGGGAGAATGTCGCGAGCCAACCGTTGTCGAAGGTAGTAAGGACTATTGGTATGTTCTCCTTTTCTCGACTTGAACATCCTCACAATATCGATTCTTCTCAGACTTTTGTTCTAAAAAGCGAACTTCATCTTTTAATCTTCTGATTTACACAGCTATTTATTTTGGACAGAGTAAGGACACACCAAATGCAGCGACAACCTCCAGCTGACGTTCCCGAGATTGGCGCAATATCACATAATCCTAAATTATGCTCTTCCTTAAGTTTGAACGAATTTTCGAACTATACGAAATGTTTAGATCAATTATCAATTTTAAGGGATTATTAAGATGCCGATGAAATTACGAAAATTACCTTAGTTTCTAAAAGATGACGAAAAATGGAAGATTCAAACTTTATCCTTGAGATCTTCTCATCAAGGCAACAATTTCTTTCAGAATTTTTACAAGAATAACCAAGGCTGTGACCTTACAAGCCGATCTCGATGCAGTCTCTCAATCACCGTGCTCTTCGAAAATTAAAGCAGGAGGAGAGGAAATTAATTCTATATTCCTTTTATAACGAACACAACGTGTTGATATGAAAGATGTTCTTGTAATCTTTCATTCGTTTTCGTGTCCTTAAGAAAAGAAGTCAAGGCTTGGCCTCCTTATGCTTATTCGGAATCAAAATTTGAAAAAAGAAAAATTTTTCGATGAAAATTGGAAAGAACGGCTTTAATCAAGATTTTCTTGCAGAAAAAATTTTCGGTTTTCCAGTATTTTCTTCCCTCACTCGATTACAACGGATTATACAGCATTGTATCCTTTTAATTGGGTTTGAACAACGATTAAAAAGCCAAATTTTAATTTCAGCAGTTGGAGGCTTTCTTAGATTCTTCTTTATACTAAGACGGTATTCTTAAAAATCATGAAATACCATTTGAAATTGATGAAAGCCTAATGGAACTCAAATTAAAGGTCACATCCTATTCTCGTAGCATGTTCTGAACTTCAGTTCCATAAGTTAGGAACACTCAGGTAATAGATTTATTAAATGCAAGTGCGATTCAGAAAATGATCCAAATGTGAAATAAAACCGATGAAACAAATTTATAGGCTGACAAACGAATAGACAAACAGGTAGACGAGGTACAAGAAATTATTTTTCCCAAATCGAATGAATTCAAATAGAAAAAAAAATCTACTAGATGTTATGTACCTTTTCCGGAACACTAAAACGTCTCGATAGTGTCTTGTCATGCTCTTCATCCCATTTTTCCATTTCAAAGAATTGTATGTCCGTTGAAATTTTATGTCGACTGATTGATTCATTTGGTAATGAACAGGCTAACTGATGACGTAGAGGTACCTGATAAGTTGACAAACATTTGATTCCACTTTGTTCCAGTGTTCAAATGGACAGATAAGAAGAAAAAAACGCTCACTTACTTTCCCCGAATTCTTTCGCCGTTTAACAAATTGACGGAGCTCACTGAGACGGTTGGAATTTTTACGCGACGATTCACCATCGTTTGAATGAATGAAATTAACGGAATCGTTATCATAATGAGAATAAACATTCATGGCCAATGTGATGCAGATAAAAGAGTAACCGCTGAACATTAAGGAGTAGAAATGTAATTACCAATCAGATCAATTTCGATCATCTTATTGCGCCCATTGCTTTTTCGTATTAAAAGAATATGAAATGAGAGAAAGAGTGAAATGAATATTCGCTTGCTTTCTTTATTGCTGATAAGCGGCGTAAGATAAAATTATCCAAGGATAAGCCAATAAATTTGAAAATAACAATAACTCCAACCTAACCGTACGGTTACTCTAAAACGAAAAATTGTAATAGTAAATGGAACGATTAAAATTAAAAATGAAGAAGTAACAGAAATACATTGAGCATAGAGTGTGGGAACCTTCCACAGGGAAAGGCTTACCTTCGTTTCATTTTGAATAAAGGAAAAAATTTTGTTTGAAAAAGTTGGATGGATTCATGCCAGACATGAATGCATTTAAGTTGTTACTCTTGTCAGCATTAGTGCTATTGTCGTTCCTATTGCTCACCAATATGACTAAAGATCATAAAGTGGCAGCAGCGATAGCAATGACAACAGCGGCAACAGCAACAACGACACCAGCAACAATACAACAACAACAATAACAACAACAACTGTCGCGAATTCCGATTCGCGAGACTCCAACCATACCCCAAACTAACAAATAAATTTCTTACTATAAATGTTAATAGTGTAAATCATTTAACCAATTTACATTCTTTAAAATTATCT